TATATATATATATTCTTAATTAGTATATAAAACCAATAAAAAAACTACTCCCAATATAAAATTATTGTTGTAGTTTTATTTATATATTTTTGCAAGAAAATACTATTTTAGTTTTTCCACTTCAAAGTTTCACATTTTATTTCAATTGCTGTGTCTTTGTAATTGTTTGTGAAATTTACTATACATTTTTGAGTGAAAATTCTTTCTGCACCATTTTATTTCAGTGTGGGGAAATAGGAGAATTGACAGGCCATCCAAGACGTAGATGCATTTGTTTCTTTTTCAGAAGAGATTTGGAGACGTGTAGCATTGCATCACTGAATCCACCACAATGAATGGGTGCCGTCAGAATGAGAGTTAAAACAGCTGATAAAAACATGACGATAATCTACAAGTAATCCACACAACTCCAATCCATCAATTAATGTCTTGAGAAATTAAAAGCTATTTTTCATTTTTAAAGTTTTATTTCAAAAAAAAAAAAAAAAGTCCATAATTTAAACGTTTCAACTTTAAATTGTTGCATTCTGATCAAAATACCAAACCATAATAACACTTCCTCCAGTGAAAAGGTCCATCCCCTGTTGTCAAAATCCACTGAAATATTTGTTTAGAACTGTTTTAGCTTGTAAACGTGCCTGATTTGTGCATATTTCTCTCCTGACTTTGATAAGACAACTTTTTCACTGGAAAAAGTAATGTTACGGATGGAATTGGACGATATTATAGGCGGAAGCAACAATTTGAAGTCTTGATGGATTTGTTGCACGCAAACACAGCTTTTTGCTTCATAAGATGTTAACTGGTGCATTGATTGAATTTGTGTGGATTAGGCTACTTGTGGATTATTGTGATGTTTTATCAACTATTTGGACTCATTCTGACGGCACCCATTCACTGCAGAGGATCCATTTATGAGCGTGATATAATACTACAATTCTTTAAATCTGTTCCAATTAACAAAAAAAGCTCATCTTGGATGACCTGAGGGTGAGAGAATTTTTTCTTTTTTTTGGGTGAACTATTACTTTATGGTTTAGCTTAATTTGGCCTAATAAGATCTACATAAAGATTTAAACATGGTCATAAGAGATCACAGATGTCCTATCAAAGAAATGTTTCTTTTGAAATCTGTTTTGAAGGGTTGACTTTTCCAGATGTCTATAGTTTTATGAGTTATCCAACAGCCATGGTAAAGATCACAATAAATCAAAGTATTAGCATCATATTGGAAAATCAGAAGAAGAATTAGACTGGATTTTGACATGTTATTGTCTATACAAGGGTTAAACCGTCTGTGGAAACATCTCACTTCATAGTGATCTCTCTTCATATTTCTTACCATGTGACAGATATGCGCTGGACGGAACAGATGAAACCCAATACTCTTCTCAGATGTGAGAGACAGTGATGAGCCACATGAGAGGCAGTCATCAATTCTCAGATAACTGAAAGGTATGACAGCACTGAAGGAAACACGGGCTGCATCTCCTACTGGCTGATGCAGTCATGTGATTGTCTGTCCATGTCAACTGCAGCGCCAGCGAGCTATTGAACTTTACGATAGATTTTAAGATGCATGGCTATGCGGAATATGAAATGGTAAACACATTCAACGGATGTGCCCCGTCTGTGAAGGAAGGATATCTATTGATTTTTAAAGTGTATGTTTAGGGGGTGCACAACAGTTGGTGATATACATCATCTGATTGTAACAATGGCCATATTTGATTGACTTACATGATGACGATAAGCTAAACTGATTTTTGGTCACCCCGAAAGCGGTTTATAGTTCATGTTATTCACATGAATTATTCAGTAGTCTATGCAGTCATCTTCAATTTTCTTTTATGTAGACAAGCAGAATTTAGGTTCTCATATCAGTGCCTTGACCTTCCTGTCTGAACTAATGACTGGCCACTTTTAGGTTAAATGGTCCGTGACAGAAAATGTATCTTCCTTCTCCATCACTAATTTAGATGTGCAGGTGCGAATCAGAGACAAGTCACAGAAATAAATAATGTCCACATGCTAATTTCACACATGCAATGAAGCATGGTGGTTTTGAAGTCACCAGTCATTAATTTTTTTCAAAGTGAAGTCATTTTTTGGGGGGGACTTTTTATTTATTTATTTTTTTGTTGTTGCTTGAGGACAACTATTTTAGGACATAACAACCTTCTTCCATTTCTGAATGTGCAGTTATGAAATGCAAAAACAAACAAAAAAAGCGTAGATCATTTTTTAAATAATTTTATATTAAAAAAGCTCAAATAACTTTTGACAGTATTTTCTATATGTATAGAAATAAGCAACTTGTGCTTAATGCATTTTTTTCGTGATGCTATGATATAGTTGATAGTATTATCACTACGTTTAATATATGTAATTTTTTTTAATCAAGTCGCACCCACGACCATTCGCCACATGTTGAACATAATCCCACTTTCCCAAGGCATCTCATCTGTCACATCCACCCCAAAGAAATAAGGCTTCGCCAAAACCTAACACTAAGCCGGAAAAGTGTTTCCCGGCCGTCGCATTTGTTTGCCGAGTTGTTTGACTCGCTGAAGTGCCATTTGTGCCTTCGATTAGACCATCATTCTCCCGGAGCCGAGGATAGGAGTGGTCGCCTCTGAGTTCAGCTCCGCACCTGCGCGTCTCCAAGATGTCCCGATTGAAACCCGTCAAATATCGGTGTGCAATATGAGATCTCATCGCACCGTTCGGATTGACGCTTCGGAGTGAAGCTTTCGAGTGAAGGTGAGATCAATGAGGACTTTATATCTCAATGCATGCGTGGTTAATGGGTGCGTCTCGCCCAAACTTTTGATGTGCGTTAGGTGATTTAATGGTCTTACCGGCTTTCTAGAAGCATTATTTGAATATAACTCAATTAATACGCTAATGTATTTTTTTTTTTTTCCTAAATGGATGGTTTATTCTCTTTCGCCTGCAGTGCGTAAAATCGACCATGCGCTTTTGCGCACTTGTGTCTCTTTTTGTTTATGGCTTTGGCAGTGAACCTTGCTTGTGTAAAACTCTTTTTGTAAGATGCTAAATTACTGTTTCTCTACTTTAAACACTAGTATGCTTGAAAGAAAACGCACAATCGGTTTGTGTGTAGGATGTCACGCACTGGCAATATTCTAGTTTATTGGTTCTCCATAAAAGGCTTTCTGACAGCAACTACATAAATGAGCAGAGCTTGAACTCATTGCCTCTTTATGAGATGAATGATTATCACTAGCTGTTACTTTATATGTAGCCCTCAATGCTCACTAACGGACCAGTTGAGTTGCAACAGTAGTTTATGAAGTATTCACACTTTATGGTATTGGTATATTCATAAATATTATGCAGTGCATATTTTAAGTGTCATTAATTAATTGCATACTGATAGGGTGCATGAACTTGGCTACTGGCGGAAATTAAGCTGTTGCTTGAAAAAAAAAAAAAAAAACACTTTGGCTTTTTACACGTGTTTATAGGCTGGAACATCATCCTGCAGATAATCTGTGTTTTTGCAATGCATCAGTTACTTTAGCTTCTCCAAACAGTGATGGCTTTGCTTTATTGTTTCTAACAGTTAATTAAAGTGACTTCTTTTTGGACTTTATTCTGTTTTGTAGATATACCCCGGTCGCTTTGATAGCTAAAATCCATAACATTTCCAAGCCATGCTCCACTCAGTATAGCTATAAAGGTACTTTTTGAAAAAAAAAAAAAAAAAAACACTTTGGCTTTTTACACGTGTTTATAGGCTGGAACATCATCCTGCAGATAATCTGTGTTTTTGCAATGCATCAGTTACTTTAGCTTCTCCAAACAGTGATGGCTTTGCTTTATTGTTTCTAACAGTTAATTAAAGTGACTTCTTTTTGGACTTTATTCTGTTTTGTAGATATACCCCGGTCGCTTTGATAGCTAAAATCCATAACATTTCCAAGCCATGCTCCACTCAGTATAGCTATAAAGGTACTTTTTAAAATTACGTTTATTTCTGATCTGTGTGATGTTTTGATTTGTGTTAAATGATTTGATTTGTTTCTTGGTTTATTTTTTTTACTTTTATTTTAAACAGGAAACTTTTTCTTTGTAAAGTAAATATAGTAATTTAAGTAAATTAATTTAATATTATTTTCTAATATTATTAGTTATATTAATATGGATCATTTTAGTTTCTTGCTATAATTAATTGTATTAAGGAAATATGTGAAATTATACAGCAGGCTTTTTAAATAAAAAAGCAGCTTCAATTTAGCCCATGTATCAGCATGATGTTCTTGCTGAATCTAGATAATGAATTATGTACACAATCACCATAAATAGAAGCTCCAACATAATAAGTCTTAAGTAAATACTACCTTTAGGACCCTGTGGATTTCATATCCTACTTAGCATTTACAGTGAAGAGATCCTTACATCAGAGAGAAATATGTAATCTATAACCCATCTCCCTCACCATTTGTTTGAATACAAAAAGGAGGACTGTTTTCTGTCCCGTTTGTGTCTTTGCTGAAGTCCCAACTGAGTTTTAAACTGCTGGAAGAGAGAGAGGGAGAGGATGAGCAGAAAACAGTGAGGGCTGAGTGGATGTGCAAAAGCAGAGAGAGTGTGTGGAGTGTCCAAGTGCGTAATCTTCCCCAGCCATCATTTCCCGCCGAACACTCGCTGTATATGCGCGTGAGGATATTATCGGCTCGCGCGGGTCTAATTGGTGCGATTCGTATCTCGCTCACGTCTAAAACGTCGAGGACATAATGAAAATATTGCAAAAAGAACTGTTTGTCGTTATCCCTGCAAACAAGAAGGGAGGCTCTTGTTTTTTTATATAGGGCGGTTGAAAAAAGCCGTCAGGAAGAACGGACCCGTGGCTATTTAAAGTTGAGTGAGGACGGTTACTGGCTCTGAGGCGATTGTTATGAGACTCCCAAAAGAAAACACGATGAAGAAGGAGAAATTGTGGAATTTATGAGTTTACACTGTTTGGGACACACGCAGAGGTTGAATTTATGCTCATTTTGGCGCCACTGAAAACATTTCCTTTGAAGTTTACCTCAGAAATTTCCGCTTCGGTAACATCTCGCACTATATGTGGCACGCGACTTAAGAAAAGATTGACGTGCCGCGAGACACCTTTCAATCGCTGTGTTTAGTCAGCCCGTTTAGTTCGGGTGGAGGTGGTGGGGATTCCGTTTTTCCCCCGAACTCATCACATTAAGATTAACAAGCCGTCTTTAAGAGGATCCTCTATGGTCATTCATGAACTTGTTGAACACCCAGCCCTCTGCGGGACCCTTCACATCGAGAGTGAAGCTCATTAACGTGAGTATTCCGTTTCCTTTTTAAGTTTAGGTTGGTTTGTGTGAATGTGTGTGCCATACGTTAGTTAATAATTTACTTATGGGATCTAGTTGTATGATTTCGCGGCAGCTTTAACTTTCCTCAGCCAAATTCATTCGGAATGCTGTGTGGTTTATTGTCTAGTACTGAGTCTCTTTAATAGGATACCGACACCTGGAAAAAAAATACCTGGAAAACGTATTTGTGATATGCAAGTAGAAAATGTATGCGAACCTAATACGATTTCAGCACCTTGGAGAGTGGACTTTCCTACGAGAGAATGCGAATGGAAGCGCCCCCTTGCGGCAATAATGCGTTTTATTGTCTTTCTGTGTCCAGGTTGCTTTCACGCACGATTAACTCTTACCTGATATGCTCTAATTTGTTTTAATCCATGAAAGTAGGCCATTTTGTTGAATAGAAATTTTAAACAAACTCTCTAAGAATTAATTTACACAGTATCGATTGAATAGTGTTTAACAAATGCTGCTGGAGTACGATTAGTGTAATGTCAATTTCTGGTTTATTTTGCATGCAAGTTTACTTCAAACATCAAACTGAATTAATAATTATAGTCTTTGGTTGGTTTTTGTATTTCTTTGTTTCCTCGTAACGTTTTTTTCTGACAGAGTGTGTGTGCAATTCATTTTTTTTTTTCTTTTGGGATTATATTAAACAGATTTGATCTGAACAAGTTGACATGAAATACTTCAGTGAAGTTTAGTCTAATTTCTGTATATTTATATATGCATGCAGCTTTTATACATTTACAGCCTTTACACATTCATAATCTAAAATGTTGTTGTTCATGAAAATTTCTACAGATGATAGATAGAAAGATACCAGAATAGATTCTTGCATGAAACAGAATAATTTTTTTAGAATAATCAGTGCAATTTGTCATTACCATAGGGTAGAGGTTTTGTTTGAGTCATGTTTATCACAAAATATTCATATGGTGAGTGGGAAATTGTAAGTATCAATCATCATCAGAGGTTTATGACATTATATCTGAGATTTAGCAGCAGCAATCATGAAAGTAGCCAGAAAAGAAAAAAATAATAGCATGCACTTGAGCTGTGAGCTTTCTGTTCAGTGCAAAATTATTCTTAACATCCCAAGATAATGATTTCAAGCTTCGTTCTCCAGTGGGATATTTTGAGCAGTCTGACATATCGCGACGAAAACTGAATGCCACAGCAGCCTTTTAGGAAAAGTATATTTAATAATGCATAACATGTTCCGATGTCGCAGCAAAGTGTGCGCTTGGCAGTGGAGGGTGATGTCTTGAGCGGAGGGGGGATTATAGGGGAGAAGGTCTGTGACAACACAAGCCTTATAGGGGCTTTTGTGAGCGGAGATTGAGAAACAAACCCCTGAAGCTAAGCTGCATGACACAAATGGCATTGCTAGAGTCGAGAGTCACCCTGTCAAGCGGACTGTGCCTTCACACATGAACAGAAAGTGACAGAACATGCCGAGGAGAGAGAAAGAAAGAGAGAATGAAGAGCAAGCGAGGGAGAAGTCAAGCCCGGCTTAGCAGCTGCGCTAAGGGAGATCCCTTTCTTCCGAGGCCAGGGACCTGTCTACTGCAGACAATCAGATTGCATTATGGGATAGGAGGTCTGCCAGGTTCAGTAGCACTCGTGGAGTGTAGACAAACCTGCGCTTTGATTTTGCCTTCTACTGACAGGCTGAGTCACATGCAGCCATCATCAAGCCTTCTGCTTGCAATTGCCACACATTACGATGAAAGAAAGTTCTCGCACCTGAATATTAGAAGAGGTGACACGGAGGAGTGGATGGTTATGCTGTGGATAAATCTGGATTAGAGCAGAGATCATCAGACTCTGTGGGTGTATGTGTTGGGCTGTCATTTTTAGGGAAAACATACTCACTCCCCGCTGCACTCAATGTTTATTTATGAGACCTGTCATATTGGCTGGCTGTTTATGGTAGAATCACTGATCCCGTGCAGGCGGGCGCTGAAATCCCGAGAGCGCAGATCTCATCGAGTGCTGCAACCTCCCTCTCTATCACAGGCTGAGACATGAATGACAGAGAGAGAAATGCGGC